TGAAATGGCCCCATGTTGTCTCTATCCCAAAAGCGGTACGACAGAAACACAGACATTGAGCCACATCCACTGAACACTGAGCAGTACCAGTTAAGGGCAGTCCGATCTTCTGATGACAAAGCCAAGTCAGCAAGCAATGCCAGATGGTTCAAGTCAATCATTGTTAAGAAACCATCGTACAAACACAGACAGATAACAAACTGGATTGATGGATGACACCACTGAAACCATATGCAAAAGAAAGCAAGTGTAAACAGTGGTCCATATGTTATAAGTGACCTGTGAAATAAAAAAGGAAGGGTCTTCTGTTAGCTTAAATAATAGTTGAAAACTGAGAATCCTTAAAGTGGGAAAACAAGGGAGAAATCTAGAGGGATTGATGAACACAACATTACATGATTCTCTTAATCCTTTGACACCTGAAGGCATCCAATTAGCATCTAATTTCTCCCTCCAATATCACAAGAATATAGCAAATAATCACCAACCATTAAGAAGCTCTTGATTGCTACACAAATTCTCCTTGTCAACACCTTAGGAAATGTATATAAAACATTATCGAGAATATCCCTGCTGATGTTAGGGTGACAGTCTGTTAGTTGACATCCTAGGCCTGTATCAGCAACTCCAAACCCACCCATTAAAATTTTACTCAGTACAAAACTAATCACTATTATTATCAATATTATTTCTGTGATCAGTATTACAATTACTGTCATTACTATCATTGTTTCAAATAATTAAAATTACAGTTATACACTGTTTTTCTCTTCCTCATAGAGTATTTGTCTTGCAATGCCCTTTTTCTTCATGACAGGAAGAGAAGAGAAATAGAGCTTCAAAAAAATTTGATCACTGAGCGATCAACTCACCTAAAACGCTTTTGTACAATCTCTGATTGGCTCAGGCTTGACCTTAAATAGGAACAAAACATTTCCCAAATAAACATTTGACTTCAATTTTCTTTTTAATTTTATAGCAACTGTGATCTTTTACTCATATGTAGCACTAATCAGGAGCTCTTAATGGAATTTTTAGATCTGAACAGAAGCTCTCTTTGCTATGCTTAACCCTTTAACTCTCATGAGTAATCAAGAGAGAATTTCTCCTTACAGTGTCAATACAATATAAAGCAGACAAGTGATGAGAACAAAGAAGAATAGTAACTAGGAGAATTTTAGTTGATCCAATACCAAATTCTCCAAACTAACATAATAAGAATTATACGGCACATAGTAAGGAGAATAATTGATGAGATCTTGGGAGTGAAAGGGGTTAAACCTCCTCTATACATATGAAATACTGCACATAATCATGTTGCTCTCACAACAATTTGCATTTGACCTTTCTGCCAATGCATGCCTTTGTAATTCTATGATTCAAAACTAATCTTCTTAATGTAAACAGTCATCTAACAGTTGAACAACTAAAACCAGGTGAGATCCCAGTTGTGTGAAGGGTGAATAGCGTTATCTACTAGATAAATCTTTAGCCAGTGGGTAGTGTGGTATGGTTTTTTTTTTTAACTATAAGCAATTTATCCATTAGATAGCATTATATGCTCTTTGAATAATGGGGTCTAGAATGATACAAATATCCTTAGGCAATAATAAGCATGTCATTATATTTTATTCCCAGAAACATTTTCATATATAGCAAACAAAGTTTAAAGAGAAGTTGAGTTACTTGTATTAAAACATCAAAGATATTCTACATGTCTTAAAATAAAACGTTCTTATCCACTCTGAACTGTATTTATTTTTACTGAAGGGTTATTCTTTTCACCTGGTTTGAGTTTTGTAAAAAAGGGTTCCACGTCTGATTATCTATTTCTAAAAGTAATTTGACTTTGGGTATAAGTTAAGACTGAGTCAAATTCAAACTGGGCCTTAGAGTAAAAATTACTAAGAAAGTAACTGACCCTTGATGATTTTATTAGATACAAATTTAAAAAAATCTCTAACTTACTGATTTTTTCCAAGGGCTCTATGATCACTCAGCCAGCCGAAAAGTGGATCATTCAGAGAATTCCATACTAGAAATATTGCCTACATGAACAGACCAAAGAAGATTAACTCATTTCAGATGAAAACAGTTTATATGTCTTGCAAGCAGTGCTATGAAGTGCATGAAGGACAGTAAAATTAGTCGGGATTGCTGGAAGAAATTCCCCTCCAGCACTTTTGTAGTCTTGGCTCTCAATTTTTCTCTGACCAAGGCAAATTTGCAAAGTCGAAGTCTTAATACATGTATATAGCAACAATATTCACATAATAAAACTCTGAATCGCTAATTTTAACGCTTACATTTTAACCTTGAAAATCTATCGATTTCTCTTATTCATTTATAAAACAGTACTCATCACCTTTAAGTTATAAAGGGTCTGCCTGATTCTACATTTGAGTAAATCTCAATATTACGAATCCCAGAGTACGTGATTGGGTACGAGATTTTATTGGTTATTTATATCTGATTTTTAAAAACAAAAGAAAACCTATGCTATTTAAATAACAAAATATCAACTGACTCCAAATTAACATAATAGCATAAAATAGAATATTCTTACCTCTCCGAGCCAAAAAGAATTACGATCAATTTTGTAAACGGAAACAAATATGTCTACGTAATACAGAAGGAACACATTGTGGAGAATCGCTATGAAAAGCGACATGGAACCATACGCTAAACGAACTGCAAGTGTCCTGTGGTACATTCTGTTCGCTGGATAATCAAAATAAATAACTTTCTCCCGTTCTAAGGCGTTAAAATTATAAACTACCGGTCTCCGTAATCATCCTATAAAACATTAAAGAGTTCTGAGTTACTGGAAGTCACTACGTAAATATTGCCAGGTTGCTAAGCCAAAAGACGAAATGGTGCCAAGAGGAACGAAATTTTGAGGGGGAGGGGAGAGGAGGTGTAGAGGTCTATATTTTAACTTTCTCAATTCTTTTTGAAAGAAATAAGCTTTTAACTCATACTTAATGACTGTGGATTAATTTAAGACTTGACTCATCAAAGAAATGGCTAAAAAAATTATAATTTGTCTAGTCACACACCATCCTTCAAATTGCCCCATTCAGATGCCCTTTGAGCTTAAAAAAAGAATTGTAAAATAATTCATCTTTTTCTGTGGTGCAGAAATCTTTTGGGCAAAATTCTCAAGAGGTAATAAAAAACAAAGAAGGAACAAGGATGACTGAGGTGGCAACATGGCCACTGCATTGCAATTAACAAATAACTGGCATTGTTATATGTCAAGTTAGTCCTGAGGTAGATCTGAGGGTTCTGATTGGTTCATACTTGGTCCATAATTTGCCATATGGACTGTTTCCACCTGAATGGTCAGGTGTGTATACCGTGTATTTTTGGTTGCAAAAGCCCGAAAATTAAAAATAAAAAAAATGGTCCCAGTGCCATATAATGAACCACTAACCTCACTTGCTCAAGCTATACTGAGGAATATTAGCCTTCAATCGTTTTTGTACAGACCTTGCTGTGTTCACCTCTTACTACCATGACAACAGGCCAGTTCCCCTGAATAGCCCTCATGCTTGGTTAATAAGAAGGGTGTTATCTTTTTAACACAACACAATAAAACTCTAATGTAGATCAAAATAAAATATTTATTTAGAGGCCATCAGTTATTAGTGAATCTAATACTGGTTCTGACTTTTTTTTTGAGAAACAGATTTATAAAATAGCCTGTTTTGAGGTTCTTATCTGAAATTTAGCAAAACATTCTTATAATTGGTACACCATTTTAATAAGAACTATGAAGGTGGTTCTCAATGTCAGCAGTTGTGTCACAGAGATCATATTGCTTATAAAGAGGAGAAAAAAAATGGGGTTGTCAATGGTATTTTGAGTGGTTAGATAGGGCTGAGAGGATTTTAATTTCAGATTCTACTTGATGGAGAAGGGACAAAATCAGTTATGGTTCAGAGAGTAAATGGGCTTCTTATAATTTTTGTCTACTTAACATTGTACAGGAAACCAATACCCATCCATTCTCAACCCACACATTTCCAAATAACAAATGTCTGCCTCAACTCAATGGGAAAGGAGAGAAGAGGAAGTTGGAGTTGTGCACCAGTAGAGACGGGGTTCGCAAGACACCTTAACCCTTCAACTCCCACAAGTGATTAACATGTAACTTCTCCCTATAATATCCATACATTATTCAGCGAACAGGCGATGACAATACTCAAACTCATCAGGTACAAGACATTACCTTGATTAAACACCAAATTCTCATAACCAATTTACAATGAAAAGTGTAGCAGCCAGAGGGGAGAATCAACAATCAGATCTTGGGAGTTAAAGGGTTAAGGCTGGGGAAAGCCGGGATGTGCGAGAAGTCCCCACAGAAATTGTAATTTTCCAGATATTTTCTTTTCCCCTCTATAAAAACGAACCCACTCCTGTGATAATCTTCAGACAAGGCAATAAGAATCCCCCATTTAAAGGCTCCCCAATAAAATTTGACATTATTGGTAACATTTAAAATTTAGGAGGCTTACTAATCACTTCCTGATTCATTTGAACAAAATCACCATATACAATATTTTAGACTAATTGTTACATGTATGAAGTGACTTGTTCTTCATCAGAACTTGCCTCATAAGTAACCAGTGATGGTTTCCTGTCCCACATGAACTCACTATGCTGATTTTGTGCATGGAGGAATTTTGATTTAGTGTTTGTATTCGAACTTCTAGCATTCCCATAAGCATCTGTTGAGTCAGGAAAATGGACTGCACTAACATTTTGTGCCTTGGTTACAGAGCCTTCTTTAACTTTCTCTGCATTGTTCTTCTCCTTTTTGGAGCTGGGTGCTCTTCCTCTACCTCCTATATCAGTAGCAGCAGCATACTTATAATTTGAACTGGCACCTGAGGTTTCTCTTGCATTTGTCTCCTTCAACCTGTCATTTTTGTCACTATGCTCTCTGATTCTCTTCAGCATTCCTGTGATAGAATTCTCACTGATGTTGGATGATGCAGAACCATTGTTATCTGTTAACTGAGCTCTTTTTGAACACATTGAATCCTTGCTTTCTTGTTTATAAGACTCTTGCTCACTGTTTTTTCTTTTTCTAGATCTACTTTCCATTGATTCTTCATCATCTTTACATTGTTTCACCTTCTCTCCATCAATGCTGGGACTTACAGATGACTTTAAAGGATGAGGACTTTTTCTTCTTTCTCTTTCTTCAGCTTTCAGTCTTGTTTGCCTTGGGCTGGGTTTTTTGCTTACATCTATTAAATCAGAATCAGTCCAATGATGAATTTGACGTGAATATTTGTTGTTTTTTGACCTGTCGGCACGAACATGACTTTCTCTCACATTCTGACTTAACCTCTGTTGTCTTTTAGAATGTTTGTGTTTCTTTTTATCTATTTTAGTTTTGTTTTCAACTGCAGTACTTTCCACCCATTCATCACTGCCACTTGACTGTGTTGAAGATTCACTTTCACTACTGGAAGATTCGCTTGAGCTCTGAGATGATGAGCTTGATGATCGCTTTGAATGATGTCCAACTCTCACTCTTGCTTTCTTTTTCTTTTTCTTCTTCTGATGTTCAACTGTTTTCTTCTTTCT